ACGCAGTTCGGGATGGCTTCCCCAATGGACCGATGTCGGAATACTTCGTCACGACCTGGGACACCGTCTATCCTCTACCTGACGAAATTTCGGGCCGCACTGCGATAGCGACGCTCACCCCTGGTCTGTACGTCTCTGATACCCATCCGCCCCAAACTGATCGTGTTCCAACGACAGGCTGCACGGCCCTCGCGCTCGCGACGGAGGCATACAATGTCCAAGCAGGCGACTTTGTCCTCGTGCACACCGTCGCGGGCAGTGTCGGGCTCTTCTTCGCACAGCTGATCAAGTCGCGGGGAGGAATCGTTATCGGCACGACGAGCACCCCTGAGAAGGCGGCAATTGCGAAAGCCAATGGGGCGGACCACGTGATCATATACAAGACTGAGAACGTCGCGCAGCGCGTGCTCGAGATCACTGGCGGGCTGGGCGTGCACGCGATCTTCGATGGGGTCGGGAAGGACACGTGAGTCTGGTGCATTTGGGGGCGGTCATCGTCGTATGACTGGGATTGACAAGCGGATGTGCAGGTTCCAAACGAATCTGGCCTGCATCCGTACGAAGGGCACGATTGTCTGGCTCGGGTTCGCCTCGGGCCTCGTCGAGCCCTTTGCGCCCCACATCACCGCGATGAAGGCGGCCAAGTACGTCTTCGCATCGTGAGTAATGCTACGCCTCTCTCCCTCAAGGGTGCCCATGGATAATCACTGACGCGAGCTCCGGATTGCTGTAGGGCCGCCGCGTACTTTGCGGATAGGAAGGCTGGTCGGGAGTACGTGGCGGAGGTTTTCCGACTCGTCGCGAACGGGGTCTTCAAGCCGTTCGTGCACAATGAGTACCCGCTCAGTGCGGCGGGGGTTCACGGAGAGAGAGCTATGGGAGGGGATGACCGCTGAGAAGTGTACGTGCAGAAACATGCCCTTCGAAGAACGTCTGGTAACCACGCATCGCAATCACTCATATTAATGCAAGCTATTTTACTCAGGGAAAGGTTGTAACGTGTCCTCAATCCCAATAGCAAAGCGATACACCCTCGTTATCTTCCTAGACCCACATCCAATTCTCAACAGCTTCATTTTTCAATCCCTCATTCCCTTCCACCACTCTATCGCTCCGTCTTTGGTCCTTTCTTGGGATTCTTTAGCTTTCTCTGATCCTTCGCGGTCTCGTACTCCTCCTCTGTGAGACCTAGACGAGTGGATTCCGTATGTCCTTCGTGGTACCTCTTGGCTGCACGATGAGGAAGACTGTCCTCTTCGACAGGTTTGCGGACATCGTCTGGTTTGTCCCGCAGGATCATCGCATAGAGATGATCTTCTTCCGAAGATATGACTCCGAAGACTTCTGAGCAACATCCTACCACTCGGAAGCCAAAGCGTGCGGGCGGCTCTTCCTTTGTGGTGGGAGACTTTGAGCCTGGCTTTCCCATGACGTGCTGAGAACGGTCACTCGATTTTGACTGATTGTAGTTTTCTGGTACGATCCCCGGCTCAGCAAGTGGTTTCTTGGTTCCGTTGGCCCAGTACGTCTCCCGCGCTGGCGGATCTCCCATGGTCCCCATGACCTCGCGTACACCGGAGTATATGGGGACAGGATTGGCCTTCCTGATGGGACGGCCGAGTTCCATGATAACCATGATATATGGTCGATATTGACTTGGCCCAAAGAAGATGTCATCGGCCTCAAACGCATCGGGTGAGACTGAATCATCGCGTTGTTTGACTGAGATACCGAGAGCCGTGATGTTGTCAGGGGTGAGACGCTTCTTATCCATGAGCACAGGAATGACCACATCAATCTTTTTTTGACTGTGGTATACTGCGAGTATCTCGCCCCGCAGGAACGCGCCAAACAGGACAAGGGGGTTTAGAGCATTGTCTCCCATTCGGATTGTCTGTAGGAACCTCACGGAAGCATCTTTGAAGACTTCCTCAAAGGTGCGTTGTTCATTCCCACCATTCTGTGCTTGAATTCTGGAAATCGTCTTTACTCCCTTTGTGTGGAATAGCGCCCCGATAAAGCTGGACAGAGAGCATCCTGATGAGTATACCACTTGCGCCCCGGGATTGTTTTCGTTTCTGTTTTCTTGTTCCACAGCCTGATAGTATGCTTCCGTGCACAGGAAGCGAGCAACCACTTCTCCGGCCTCCCCTTTTGACAAGAGGTCATGGGAGAGGTACTCATGAAGCACGTCCAATGCTCGAAGGCGACCGGATCCTGGGATTTGCTGTTCATGGTAGAATCTCTTGAAGATCTGTGCGATAGCTTCGGCCATTATGGGCTCGCTCCGATGTGTTGTGTACAGGCAGTCTCTACTAGGTTCCATATCTAGAACCGTCCTCATGGAATACGCATGAAGCTGGTGCTGGGTTAGCCATGCAGGGTTCTCCCGTGAGACATCCTGGCGAAGGCAAGCACGGATATTCAGCAGCTCAAGAAGCTGTGTATTACTGATGTCCTCTATCGCAGAGCCGGACAAAATTGCCTTCTCTGCCAATCCAAGTACGGCCTCATCTCCAGCAGACATTGTGGATAAATATTTCGAACGCCACCTGTTTGACCTTGTGAGTATTCATGTTGCATCCACAGATATTCTGAGAGCACGCACAAGCCGCGACCAAATCTGGACATGAACTCGCAAGTAGAGAGGACTTTCCAAGGTGTCTTGGACCACAGGGTTTTTCGAGGAATGTAATCGATTCTGCCGCCGAAGAAAGGATGGACCATATCTCCAAAATTATTCTTTGCATGCTCTGAGCAGAGTCGAAGACGGGATGGGGCCACCAGGCCAGTATAAGGGTTGGTTGTAAGGAAGACAAAGAATGCCTCATGTCCCACAAAGAAGGTCATCGCTGATATAATTGCATCCAGCCGCGAGCCAGCGTCCGGATTACAAGGGTGCCGAGCAATCAATGACTCGGCATTGTCGAAATAAAGCAATAGCTTCACCGCAGATGTAGATGGGCTGTGGTTGAGTAGACCATCGATCAGTGCTTGTAGCGCCTTGGCTGCGTCAGTTCCAGCTTGTAAAAGTCTCTTTGGTATGAATCTTCCTCCGTATTGGGTGCAATGGTCCGGCCCAGACCCCATAGAACGGTCCCGCTGTTTACTGGTCCACAAGGCATTCTATGAAGTGGTCAAGTTAGGATCTTATCCGTACATAACAGTGAAGAACACTGACTAATGTATTGCCCACATTTACCCATGGCACTACACCATTATCTGTGGTACTGTGGTGTTGCCATGCGTGCACTAGCTCCAGATAGGACTTGTGTGTCGTGCCTTCCGCAAGTTCACCACGACTACTGTTCATCTCAGAGAATATGATGCGGAAGAACTCAAGCATCACAAGTTCCTCTTCAAGTGAATTGTGGCATAGCTGTAACTCGTTGAGCAAAAGTTGCCTGACCCATTTAGGATACCTATATTGAGGATCTATAGGAGTATAGAAGCAAAATTAGAACTACCATGCTGGTTTGGAATCGCGCCAATGATTGTGAGACGTTACTCGCATCTGAAGTCCATCCCCAGACTATAGGTTGTCTCTAAGTATTCGAGCAGGGTGCGTGTCTTTCCATAACCATGACTTTGGATCCAACAGCCGTAGTTAGAATACAGTTTACACCATCTGTAAAAACCACCTTTGCAAATTACATCTATTTAGTACAAATTAGCTCTTAATAGACACAGTAGTTGGATAGTGAAAAATAGTGCAA